AGACACCCCCACCCCCACCTGAGGCCCCCATAAATATTTACACACTGGGCAGAAACGGTTGGGACACAAATCCCAGACGGACAGACAGACACTGCGGTGTGTGTGTGTCTGGTGTTAGGAGTTGGGGGAGCTTGCGCTCAGCTCGCAAGGTAAGTCAGGCCCGGCCAAGCTGGGGCGCGCGGCGGGGAGGCGCGTGGCTGCTGCCGGATCGCCTGGGCCCCGCACGCTCGCGGGGACCGTCCGCCCAGCCCGCTGAGCCCTGTTTCCCGCAGGTCCCGGGCCGATGTCCCAGGTGAGTGGCCAGCGACCCCTCACTGCGATGCGCCCCATGGAGCCCCAGCGCAGCCCCGGACCCAGGTAGGACCAGGGATGGAGAGCGAGGCTGGACTGGAGCGGGGTAGGCGGCTGGGGTTGGGGGGGTGGTAATTCTCCCCCCTCCTCCCTGAGACGTGGGGAGACGGTTCGGGGAGCTTGGGTGGAGGTGAGGGCAAGGAGTCTGGATATGAGAACCGAATCCAAGGAGAGTGGAGGGCTGGGGCAATGGGGGCAGGGCCCGAACGGAGGCCGCGGCCGCGCCAAGTTGGCTCAAGCTCCCCCAACTCCTAACACCAGACACACACACACCGCAGTGTCTGTCTGTCCGTCTGGGATTTGTGTCCCAACCGTTTCTGCCCAGTGTGTAAATATTTATGGGGGCCTCAGGTGGGGGTGGGGGTGTCTGAATCTTTCTCTCCTTCCCTTCCCCCAACCCAACCAGAGCCTAGCGCTTCCCGAAAACTTTTGTCCGCAGCAAGCGGCTGCAGGACCCAGCCCCTCCCCTCCTTGCCATCTCGTCTCGCTCGCCTTCTTCCCTACCCAAACCTGGCCAGTCCCCGCCACTCCTACCCTGCAAGCACACAGGCACACAGACACACACACACACATTCTCTCTCTTACTCTTTCTCACGCACTCACTCCAACCAAGTGCCCACGACCCGAATGAAATGCCCCTCCCTCCAACTCACAGGGTCTGTAATCTCCCTGGGATTCCTGCAGGAGCCTCCCAACCCCAAGAGGGTTGGTGACTCCCTGATGGCGTCTGGAGGGATTGGAGAGTCCTGGGACTGTGGCTCTCAGGTCCAAATGTAGGCTGAGGCCCACAGTGGAACATAGGGTCTGAGAGAAGTCAGGTACATGTGGGATTTGTTCAGGGGCAGGGGGGTGGTGTGCGGGAGTATAGGCCCAGATTTCATGCCTTTAATCCCAGCTCTAGGTGAATCTAATCTCCTGCCTTCCTCTCGCCCACCCCCATTACCCGCTTCTCCCCTCTTTGAGTCTCTGAATAATGGAGGTCTGGTCCTGGACCTCTGACACTAACTCCCTGCATGGCCTTGGACAAGTTCCTTCCCCTTTCTGGCCTCAGTATCCACATCCACCCATAGAGGCTGGTCTGCCTGTTCAGAGAGGCCGGTCTCAAGCCCCCAAGTCTACCCGGTGTGGACGCTGGCACTCTGGACACCCAGGGCTGTGGGGGCGGGTGTCTCCTAAAGCAGAGTGAGGACGAGTGGGAGGTGTCTGGCCAGGGACCAGCACATACATGAGGCTAATGTGTCTGCTGTACATCCCGCCAGCCCTCAGATTCCCCCTCTCTGTGGGGGCCCTGGAGCAGGGACTTCTGGGGAATAAACTCCTCCAAGAACTGGGCTCCTGCAGCCTGAGAAAGAGCTAGGGCAGGGGCCAGGGAAGGTTCTGCTGTGTCTGGGAACTTTTTCTCTCCCGCTCCTGGCCTCCTGCTTCTCTCCCACCCTCCCACTCTCCCGTGCTTTCTTTCTCGGCTTATCCATTTTCTCTGCTCTCTCCTCCACTACTTCCTTCCAAGATCCTCTCCCTTGTGTGACCCATTCTGAGCCCCAGCAAGGAAAGGAGGGGCTGAATGTGCTGGGGCAGGGACAAGGGCCAGGGTGGGCCATTGGGAGGGTTAAGCCCTAGGCTGTAACTTGAGGCCCCCCCAGTGCCCCATTGAGCCCCCTTCCCAGCCTGGGCTGGGCCAGACAATGTGGCTTTCATAACATGAGAAGGCCTGGCTCTGCTGCCTTGGGAGAATGAGCCTGCTGCCCAGGAAGCCCAAACCGCAGGAGACCCAGCCAAAACCCCACAGACGCCTGAAGCCGAGACCAGAATCCCCCACGCGCCCTGCTGAGCACTGACAGAACAGCAAGGCCATGGCGCTGCCCCCCAGGGGCCCTGCTGGCGGGACAGCCAGGGAGCAAGTCAGCCCCTCCCTCAGCCGCCCAAGATGCAGACAGGGTGCAAGGGGACTTAGGACAGCTCTGGTTGGGGCAGGTGGCCAAGCCCCCACACCCTTGGCTCCCCCAGTGGCCTCCTCCCCACCCACTCCCAAGAGCCCCGGTAGCCTGGCTTCCTAATGCACAGCAGATTTCTGTTCAGCGCTGGATCGTCAAATTCCTGCTCTTGGTTCTAAATTTTCTAAATTGAATTTCTTGGGGAATTGGAGCCTTCAGACTTAAAATAAAATCGACCGGACCCAGCCTAACTGGTCAGCTCAGGCTCTCTCCAGTCCTCAGCCTGGTGGCCTGAGACTGTGACCCATGTGTCACAAGTGAGTATCAAGCTAGTCTACAATTTTGCCTTCTTGGTGCCAGGTGCCACCCCTAATCCTCGACTTCTCAATCTCTCTCCTTCCCCTGATCTGGGGCGATTCAAACTGCAGAACCCAGTCCTCACCAGCAGACATTTGCTGAGTGTCCACTGGGTGTGCAGAGGTGGATCCTGACCCCACCCCAGGGAGTGAGCTGGGGAGGCCTGCAGTCTAGTTGAGGACCTGGACTTCACTCCCTAGTTAGTATTTACAACAGGAAACCCTGGGCACTAAGTTCTTTATAAGTGGGCCACTTAGAGGAGGCACTGTTGGCTTGAGGATCAGGGAAGGCTTCCTGGAGGTGAGGGTCCAGCTGGGTCATGAAGGAGGAGTTAGATTTGGGGAGAGGGGAAGGGTAGGACTTTCTGGTCAATAGAAACAATATAAACTCAGTTGGATCAGGCAGAAGGCCCATTGGTATCCTGGGGCCACGGAGAGGTTGACTGGCCAGGAACACAGGATCCTTGTCCATTGATTAGGATGAAAATAGAGAATGAAGCCTTGAATACCAGGCTAAGGAGAGATTGGAATGCAGGATTCCAGTCACTACTCTCTGAGCAGATCAGATCCTGGCTGTCTCTCTGCAGAGATGGCCTGAGCTCCAAGGAGGAAGTCTGGGTCCACTGTCCACAAAAACAATGGAGAGAGCTGGGCTAGAGGGACCAGGGATGGAGCTCAGGGCCCAGGGCCCTAAGGGCACATTCCAGGCTTGGAGTGAATCTGTCTCACCTAGAAGAGGTTCCCCCAACTCCTTCTCGGTCCAGGAGCAGCAGGCAGAGGGAACACACAGGATCCGGCTGAAGTTTGAATCTCTTAGCTTCCCTCTCAGGCTTATGGATTTAAACATGACTCTTCCACCCTCTTCTGGAGCTGTCTTTCTAGAACTCAGGGCATTCATTGACCAGAACCTTCTCCTGTGGTAGGGGTGAAAATGTGTCGAGTCAGAGGGGCTCTTGCCTTTCTGTGTTTCCCCCTTGGAGATGGGGACCCTTGAGAGAGGTGCAGGACTGGGCCTTCTGCTCAGAGATGCCACCAGCATGATGCACATTAAAAAAAAGGTGGCTCTCGGGTCAGATGGAGCAGGTGTGCTGCTAGGTGAGCAGATGGCACCTCCGGGGAGGGCAAGACCCCAACCAGGGACTCCAGCCCCACCCCCGTCCCCCGGGACAGATGCTTTCGTGCACAACTTGAAATGCTTGTCCACACAATTGCCCTTGGCCTTGGCTGGCCTCCCCGCCATCCGGGAGTTTCTCCGCAGAGATGCCCTCCCCTCTGTGGCTGGATAGGGGTTCTTCTGGTCACAAGAAGGAAAACTGGGTTCTTTGGGTCTCTTGATGTTGAGCACATGGGCTCTTCCTCTTGTCTGGCTTTTCTGCTCCATGTGCTCCCAGAGAGAGCTGTTTCTTGGTCCAGCATCTTGGCTTCGGGGCACCTGGGCAGCATGTCTTCCTGCCACTTCTTGTTCCTTCCCAGTCTACTTCCGTGTCTCTGAGCCCTCCATATTGCTTCTCCAAGCGTCTGCTGGGTCCCCTCTGCTGCCCTCTTGGCTCCAGGAGGTCTGTTCCTCTGTGTTTCCAGGTCAAGATGACTGGACTGGACTTTCTTTTCTCCCTGGTTTCCTTCCAAGGTCTGATGCTCACCCCAGAATGGCACGTTTCCTGCAGGAGGGGCCTCCTCAGAACTTAGTCTGTGCTGTCTGTAATTTCCTGTTCCCACCAGATTCAAGGTCACCAGCCATGTAGGTGACTATTAGGAGAGACTGCCCGGAAAGTGGCGACGTGGAGGGAAGGAGGGCAGAGGTGGGGACCAGTCTGCCTCACCCCTCTTTCTCACCTTCCTTTGTCTCCAACCCTGAGGGCCAAGAGATCCAAAATCCTGGCTCTTTCCACTACAGAACTGACGGTGTCACCTCTGTGTGCCCTGGTGACCTCAGGAGGAAGCCAGGGAAGTGACTCCAAGGCCCGCCACGCCCCGGCTATCATTCTAGGTTTCCCGCCGTTCACGCCGCTGCTGATCTCGCTGGGGTCTTGGCTTCTGCAGCTGTTCTCGAAATATCCTGTCCTCCTTCTTTGCTAACTGATTATTCAAGACCCAGTGTGGGCATTGTCTTCTCCAAGAAGCCTCCTAGGCACACACACACACACACCCTGGGATAAGTGCCCATCTTCTGTGCTTCCGCAGTTCTTAGATGCCTCTGCTGTAACTCTTGCTGCTCGGTGCACGTCACTGCCCCCCACCCCCGACTCCTGAGGCAGTGACCTGGTCTTTCTCATTTTGGTCCACCCAGTGCTTGACGTATTGGGAGGTGCCTCATGGCCAGTTACACCAAACAGCACAGGAAGGAAGGAGGAAAGGAAGGAAGGAAGGGAGAGGAGGGAGGGCAGGGAGGGGGATGGGTGGGTGGAGGGGTGCGGGAATGGCCCCTGCAGGCCAGCACTGCTGAGTGTTTCATTTACTCTTTGAAACCCTGAGGGACAAGCATTGTGAACCCCCTTTCCATGCTAGGTGACCCAGTTCTGGTAACTCACCCAAGCTGGTATCTGGTAAAAACCAGGCCTTGGGTCTTCCAGCTCCTCACCCAGGCCTTTGTCTTTACACCTCCTGGAAGGGTCAGCACTCTGGCTTCGGCTTCGGGGGCCCTGGTAGGAGGACTCTGGGGCCAGAGGCCGGAGCTGGGCAGCCCCCTCCTTCCCTGGGAATTCAGACTCAAGCTGTAAGCCCCCCTCTTCATGCTGACAGAGGCGCCATGGAGCAGGCAGCGTGGCTCCCCCTTGGGGGTCTGCTCCCCCTCGTCCCAGCCCTGTGATCTTCAAAAAGCCACTTGACCTTTCATAACCCAGGGAGTAAGAAGGGCTGCCCAAGGAATGGATGGAGCTTGTGGGCACCAGGGGTGGCAGGAGCCTCAGCCCCTCCTGCCTCCCAGCCCCAGCTCCCAGCTGCAGGCAGGGCCTGTGGTTTCCTTGGGCAGGTGTGAGCATGCCTGCTGTTCTCCCTGTGACCCACGTGGGGCCCCCGGGCCATGCGAGGCCAGGGTCTTTGAAACAAGGACCACTCGGGTCTCTGAGCCCCTGGATCGCTCCCTCCCCTCAGGATGCTCCCACCTCCCAGACCTGCATGCCCAACCTGAACGGATCCCTCTAATGACCTCCCTCCCCTTTCTCCCCCATCCCCTCTCATTTGGAGCCAGCCAGAGAAGGGCACCCTATGTAAGGCCCTCTGTGCACTGTGATTGGTTCCTCTTCTATTCCCAAGACTAGCCTTTGTCTCTCCATCTCTGTCCCTGTGGGTGTGTCTCCAACTCTGTGTGTGGTGTGTACGGGTGGGTGCTAATTTCTTACTTCTTGGGTTTATCACCCTTTCTCTTCATCTTTTTCTCCGTCTCCTTGTGTCACTCTCCTCTCCCCAGCCCTTTGGCCTCTGTGTCTCTCTGAGTCTCTCATTTCTGTCTCCACTGCTCCCAACATGGCATGGGGGAGGGGCACCCTCCTGAGGCCCCGATCCTTCCAACTGCACATCCTGGGGGCTGTCATGGCTTAGCCTGGGTCCTGGCCCCGTGACCCCAGGCATCACCCGCCCTGTCTACCCTCAGGCCTTCCCGCACCCGATTTCCTTTCTGCCTCCCTGCCCACCTCCCAGCCCCAGCCCCCAGAACTTTCTTCCCCTGGGCCCAGGCGGCCCTGGTCTTACCACCTCAGGAACTGTGGGTTTGAAGGTGGCTCCATTTCTGCCTTCCGCCCACCCTGCACGGAGGGGCCAAGCTACTCACTGTAATTACGTGTGGCTGCCGTCTGCCTCTTCCCAGCCCTCTTAGGCCATCTCCCTGTCTCTCTTCCTGCCCATAGCCCCTCTGCCTCGTCCCAGGCTTCTCTGACTCTCTGATCCAATTTCTCACTGTCTGTCTCCCTCTCGCTCTGTTCTGTATCCCACTTCCTCTCCATCACCTCTGCCTCTGACCCGTCTTTATCTTTCTCTCCATCGCTGATTTTCACTCAATTGCTGAGCCTCCCGCCTGTCCCGGGCTGTCTGTCACTGGGTTTCTGGGGCTCTCTCCTTCCGCCCAGTCTCCTGCATTCTGATGCACTCTTTTTGCTTCTACCTTTCACTATCCCTTTGATTCTTTCTCTCTCCATGTCACTCTTGACGCCTGTCCCTGTCTCTCCATCGCTGACCGTCTGTCTGTTCTCTCAGCTGTGTTTCTGCCTCCTCCCCCCACTTTCCTTTACACTGCACATCTCTGGCCCCTCTCCCTGCCAGTGTGCGCACACACATGCATGCACACACACCCTTGCTCACTCATGGGCTGTGGTTTGAGAACTTTCTATTTTGGAGTCTGGCACTATTGCCAGATATGGTAAGGGCTGGGTAACTGGTACAGTGACCAAGAATGAGGGCTCACGGCATTCTGGGCTATGGGAAGGGACCGGGGCCAGGCAAACAGGAGGGCACCAGGAAAATGTCCCTTGGTTGTCTGCTTTCTCCCTAGCCCAGACCCCATCCCTCCTGCCTGGGCTGGAGGTAGTGACAGGATCTGCTCACCCTGTGGAGGCAGCGCTAGAGGAGGGCTCCCTGGAGGAGGCGGCACCCAACATGCCCCAAGGCAATGGCTCTGGGGCCCCCCTGGGCCTGGACAGCACTGACCTCGATGTCCCCACAGAAGCTGTGACACGTGAGTCCTAGGGGACCAGGGAATTGGGGTGGCAACATGTAGGGGTTGCACTAGAGAATGCAATCCAGATGGGCTGGCAAAAATGTCGTGGATGCCCGTGGGACCTTGACGTGAGGGCAGTGGAAAGGTGTATGACACTGTCACTGTCCTTGCTGTCTAGGAAGAAGACCGCCACACAAAATGATTCATATAAAATTAGTTCAAAATAGTGTGGACAGGCTTCAGGCAATATGGTTCAGGACAAGAGAGTGTGAGGTTTACAGAGGAGGTGCCCCTCACCTCTAGAAGGGAGTCGGCCCAGGACAGGGAGCTGGAGCCCGAGGCAGCCCCAGCCATGAGGGTGTCACGGGAAAACTGGCAGGAGAGACACCCTCAGCTGCTCTGGGTGGAAAGGAGGGAAACTCAGCTCTTCCCAGGTTTGGCTTAATGTCTCCAAGGAGGTCCTGGAGGGGGGAAGTTTGCCACCATCACCCTCAGAAGCAGGGGATGAAGCTGCCAGAATTATTTTCTAATCACTAGTAAGATGCACAGAATCTATGGACACATTGGCACTTCCCAATTTTCTTTCCCTGAATGGCCTCACGTGCTCTCCAAACCAGAGGCACTCAGGCAGCGGGATAGCTCTTGCCAAGCCCGTGTTACAGGTGAGGAAACTGAGGCAAAAGACCCGCTTGCCCTGGACATAAACTGGGGAGCACAGGTCTCCTGGCCCAGGGCCCTTTCCTATGCCTGCTGCTCAGCTGGCATGGCCAAGTGGGGAGCCGCCTTCAGCCAGGGCATCTGGGGCTAAGTTGGACTCCCTGGAAGTCAGGGTTACTAAATCCTGCAAGCACTTTGCCCTCAGCCTCCTCCAGACACACCCACCAGCAGAACTGAGAGAAAGAGGTGAGCGCCGGGGCCACAGAGGAGGGGGCCTGGATGGAGTTGGACAGACACTCCTGTGTCTCTGCGCCCTGAGTGTTTGCTCTGTGACTCAGCCCCCATGGCCACCCCCATGGCCGTGGCCACAGGCGAGCTCTGTGTCTGGACAAATCTCCTGGGGCCCTCAGCTCACCACACACTCCCGCCCTCTGGTCACTGTGCCCGTGTTTAGGCAACAGGGCAGGGGGCACCAAAGCTGGCCAAGGACTCAGCCCAGTCACCCCCCGTGGGGCCAGGAGGTGGGGGCAGGATGATTTAGGCCTGGCCACTTCCCATGTCCTTACCCCTGTTTACGCAGATGCAGGCACCGGTCACAGCTCCGGGCCAAAGGCTCCCAGCATGGAGCCTCCCCAGAGACCTGTCTCCCATCCTCTCCCTGCCTCCCCAGCTTGTCCTCAGCTCCTTTCTCCCATTCTCCATCCTCTCCCCGCTCCACTGCCTAGCTGTGGAAACTTTGCCAAGTTTTATAACCGCTGAGCCTCAGCTTTTTCATCTGTGAAATGGACTAGTAATAGTGGCTCTATTTTATGCTTAAGGAAATTTCTACACATACAGTTCTCAGCACTGTGTCTGGCACCTCGTTACAGCTCAAAACATGTCAGCTACTAGTTATAAGTGTAGTGATGGTTGTGATAGTAGCCGCTTATTCCTCAGTCCCTGATCTCCCAATCTCTGCCAGCCTCCTTGCCTCTCTGCCCTCAGAGCCCCAGCTCTTAGCCTCCAGGCTAATCCCACCTCTGGTCCTTAGCTGTGTGACCTTGGACAAGTTACTGTACTTCTCTGGAACTCAATTCCCTCATCTGTAAAAGGAGGATACTGCCCTAGGAGATGCTGAGAATAATTCCCTTGTCAAGTGTTCAGAACCGTGGCCAGCGTGCAGCGAGTGCCCAGTGCTGTGCTACCGCCATTACTAGAAGGCCCAGGCCCCTTGGTCAAAGGAAGCACCGAAGTCCCCTTCCACTCTCTTCAGCCTCCAGGGCCCCCCAAACATCCCCTCCTGCCACAGTCTAAACCCAGAGGCCTGGCCTGGAGAGAGCTGGGGATCCAGACCCCGGTGCCTGAGAGGTGGACATGCCCCATGTTTACATGTTTACCGAAGGTCCTCAGGGCCAGAGGGTCCCACCCAGGAGTCAGGGGCCCTGAGCAACCAAGGGGTCCTCGAGCTCTCACGATGCCCTCTCAGTCTCCTCCCCCAACACACACAGACCACTGCCCTCAACTCTTGAGAGCAGAACCGTGCCATCCAGGTGGGCAGATTGAATGAGGTGAGGGAAGGAACTGGGTGTTTTGGGGGGATATCTGTGTCCAGCTTCCCCGAACCCCACTGATAGAGCCAAATTTTGGTCCCTCAGCCCGGGATGGGGACCCAGAATTCCCAGCTTTGGGGCCTCCCTGCTGCCCTCCCTCTTCCCTTCTTCTCTCCCTCCTCACCCAGACCCCAAGGGCCCCTCAGCAAATTCTGCCGCCACCCCACAGAGGCCAGATGGGAGGCAGGGACTAGGGGCAGAAGGAACAGGAGACAGGGGAGCTGCTGTGAGGAGCCCCTGGATTCCAGGGCCAGGGCATTCATCCCCAAACAGATGTTTCCAATAAATCACCCAGTGTACGAAGGGCAAAAACAGCTGGGGGCTGAGCAGGGGCCAAGGTGATAGTTAACTACTTCCCTGCTGTCCCTCCACCCCGACTACCACCACTTTTGCCGAGATCCTAGGACCCTAAGAGCAGGAGAGTGGAGTTCACGCTGGGTAAGAAGGTGGGGTGCAGGCCTCTGAGCCTCTCCCCTTGCCTTGCAGCTCTGTCTTTTCTGGAATGAGGCCTGGCTGGGGGGTCAGGAGCCAGGCTCGACTCATCTGCTCTTTCGTGGTTTTCCTCTGGGCAAGTCGGTTCTGCTCTCTGGGCCTCGGTTTCCCCATCTGGAGAATACAGATCAGCCAGGTGACCTGTGGTGGCTCTGGGAACTAAGATAACAGGATTAGAGCAGAACTCTGGGAGGCTGTGCGCCCCCCACCCACACACACACACTTCTTCCATTGCCTTTTCTCATCATCCCTCTAGGCCAGCCTCAGGGGAACCCCTTGAGCTGCACCCCACTAGTGGCGAATGGCTCTGGACACCCCTCGGAGCTGGGCGGAACCAGGAGGACGGGAAACGGTGCCCTGGGTGGCCCCAAGGCCCACCGGAAGCTGCAGACACACCCATCTCTCGGCAGCCAGGGCAGCAGGAAGAGCAAGGGCAGCACCAAATCTGCTGCCTCCCAGATCCCTCTCCAGGCGCAGGAAGGTGAGCACCCCCTCCCGCCTCTCCCTGGGAGAAGCCTCCAAAGCTGGGTTCCTCAAAGTCTGATGCACGGACCAGCAGCATCTTTACCAGGTTAGAAGTGTGGCATCTCAGCCCCACGCGGATCCGCCAGATCTGAACCTCTGGATGAGGCCCAGGAGTCTGGGTTTTAACAAGCCCTCCAGGGAGTCTGATGCAAGACTCTTAAATTGGAGAACCTTGCTGATGACACTTGTCGGGTAAAGTGAGGGATAACTGAGTTCTCAAGGCCAGCCCCTTCTCATCCTTGGAGCCATCTGGGCTGATTCAGCTTAAGTCACCCCATTTCTGGAAACAGGAATTTTCCTTGAAGACTGGGCCATCTGTTTAGCAAAGGCAGAACCCTGAGCAGAATAAAATGATGCTCCATCAGCTCCTTAATTGGGGGCGAGGTGGAGGCCACAAGGTGTAGTGGGAGGTCAGGGCACCCAGATACATCAGCCATTGTTCTCACCACATGGAGGACCTCTGCAGGGCCACCCTGGACAGCCAGCTCCCCTGGGCAGCCAGCTCCCCTGTCCCACCATGTGTCAGTTCAGTGTGGGTGACGGCTGCCTATAACCCAGAGGTGCTTGACCTTCACCCCGGAACTTTTAAGTAATTTCAGTCCATGCTGGGGGACCCTGGCCTGGTCCTCTGCAAACAGGATTCAGTGTGCCCATTTGCACATAACACGTACATAACCTTCCCACCCCATGGAGCAGATTCTGCCCAAGTCTTATTTATGTAGGGGGTATTCATGCATTTAAAGTGTGCTGGGCATCTGCTGTGAGCCAGGCACTGTGCTGTGTACTGGGTACCCAGTCCATGGCCTCGTAAATCTCTAATGAGAGAGGCAAACAGGTAATCACCCTGTGCCTTGATGAATGGTAAGTGACAGTGCCACACACGGCGATGCTGTGGACACAGGGTAACACCCACACCAGCCCAGAAAGCTGGGGCGGGGAGTCTGAGAAGGCTCCAGAGGTGTCTGAGCAAGTCTTAAAAGACCAGTGGGAGAATCTAGTCAGGGGGCATTAGCACAGAGATGAGAACAGGCTAGTGTGGCTAGATTATGAAGGTCAAGGTGAGGAATGGCAGGAGGTGAGACTCCAACCAGACAGGAGCTGGGGCAGGAACGGTGGGAGTGGCTTATAAACTATACAGTGGATCTAGACTTCATCTAGAGGACAATAGGAAGCCTTGAAGGGTTTTAAACAAGGTGGTGACCTCATCAGATTTGCATTTGGAAAGAACTCCCTTATCCAGTTTGCAGATAGATGGCAGGGGTTCCAGCTGCACAAGCCCCTACTCCCTGTACAGAGGAAAGTGGGTGGGGGCGTCAGACCCTCCATGGCAGGGTGAGCTTCTCACAGGACCAGCAGCCTTGTGCCAGGGGCCCACCTGGTCAGGGGCCCTGGACACTGCCCGTGGCCTGGCCCCGGGGAGGGGTGCCAACTCAGCATCCTGACAGCATGCTGAGCTGTTGAGAGCATGGGCTGCGGAGCCGGCTCCACCACTTACCAGCTCGGTGTCCACGGCAGGATCGCGGGTTAGCTGGCTTCCCATGTATCTACTCAGGACCGATGATGTGCCAGGCATTATTCTAGGGACTGTAACAGACACAGATGCCCACCCTCGTGGTGCTTACACCTCAGTACATGGAGAGCTGTGTAAGCACTGGAGGGTGGTAAGTCCTAGGAAGAGAGGCAGAGCAGGCCAGGGTGAGGGGATGGGGCTGCTGGGTGGGGCGGGCAGCTTGCAATATTAAAGAGGGAGTTCAGGGAAGGCCCCCAAGAGGAGATATCTGGGCAAGGAAGGAGGGGCCAGAGTGACTAGAGCATCAGGGGGAAGGGGAGCAGTGCCTACGAGGCCGGGAGCAGCCAGTGTGGCCACAGCCTACACTGACGACAGGGAGAGATGAGCAGGAGTAGGATTCTGGATAGATTTTGAAGTGACTTCTCTTGAGCCTCAGTTTCTTCATCTACAGAGAGAGGCTAATATAGCCCCACCTTGAGGAGTTATTGCAAGTTTAAATGAATTGAATGTACATGCAACACTTAGAACAATGGTGCCTGGGACACGTCATCGCTCTATGGGTTCGTTAAATACATGCCTGAGGGTCATTAACACCGGGACTGGGATCCAGACCACCTGGGCTCAGACCCTCGCTCCACGTTAACTCTGTGCCTCGGGCTTGTCACCTGGAAGGTGGGTTCCCCCTTTCACGGAGCGGGGTGGGAGGTGTTGTATGAGCATAATTCCCGCGCTCGGTGACTCCGCTGTGGCTGGTCCCCGGCCCCTGGCTGTCTCGCCCGCAGACTGCTGCGTCCACTGCATCCTGTCCTGCCTGTTCTGCGAGTTCCTGACGCTGTGCAACATCGTCCTGGACTGCGCCACGTGCGGTTCGTGCAGCTCCGAGGACTCATGCCTCTGCTGCTGCTGCTGCGGCTCTGGCGAGTGCGCCGACTGCGACCTGCCCTGCGACCTGGACTGCGGCATCCTGGACGCCTGCTGCGAATCAGCAGACTGCCTGGAGATCTGCATGGAGTGCTGCGGGCTCTGCTTCTCCTCCTGACCCGCAGGCTCCAGCAGCATCCCTGGCTGTCGCACACGGCTGGCCCGCCCCTCCCTTGGGCCTCTCCCACCCACCCAGCCCGGTGAAGGGGGCTGCCTGTCCTCCTCCCTGGTTTCCCAGGACAACAGCACCTAGGACCTGGGGGTGGGGGGACCGCTCCTGAATTAACTGCCAGGGCTGCTGAACACTGTGAAAGTGGGGGGATCGGGCAGGGATGTGTGGGGGCTGGGACGCCGGGGCTGTGCGCTTTTCTACCTCTCACTGCCCCTGTGCCTGCCTCCCCTGCATGCCCCCCCAGCTTAGAGGACAGCAAAATGTGAAAAGAGACACCCCACCCAACCTCAGCCAAGCCCCTCCCTCATCTCCTCTCCTGGGATCTTGTGGGGGCCTCACCCAAACAGTGACCTGAGAGGGCAAGGCTGGACTTGGGCCTGGGTGGGTGGGAGAGGAACCAGTATAGAAAAGACTGGAAAGGGAGAGGGAGGGAATGGAGGGAGGGTCTGTTCTATTTGTTGCTGTAAATAAAGATGTTTGTCCATCTCAGATTTCCTTAGGACTCATGAGTGATGGCCATGGACTATGACTCTCAAAAGCAAACATTCCCCACAACCCCCTATAAAGCCCCCAAATGAATGAAGCTTCCCTGGCCTCTGGGGTCCCCTCCCTTGTTCATATTCCCTACTAACAGAAAGAAGGAAGAGGGGTACCCACTTCCCACTGTTACTTCCCTCTTCCTGCCAGAGGGATGGAGCAGCCCAGAAAGGGAAGAGTTAAGCCTTGGCATAGAATTAATTAACAACAGATGTGTTCGGGTTTTGATTAATTAATCTCCTGCTGACTCCAGCTTCTCGAGGCCGTGATGGCTCCAAGGCATAGGGTGACGCCTATATCGGTGGCAGAGCAGTGCTTGGGGAGGGGGTACCCTGGGCTGTACTGGGAGGAGAGTTTGGCCTGAGTTGGGGTCACGTGGCCCAGCCTCAGTTGTCCCCTGATTGCCAGAGCGCCTGAGATAGAAGAAAACTCCCAAGACTCTGAGGTGGAGCCTCAGAGGCCATGTGTCCAGCACACTTGGTGCACTGGGGAGGGGCAGACCTGAGCACGGAGGCTGAGGGTGGGGAGGGCTGTCTGGACTGAGCCCCTCCCCACCACATCCTGGACCTGGAGAAGGCTGGGAGGGGTCCAGGGTGAGTGAGAGGATGTCTCATGGTTGGACCTGGATTATCCTGAGGGGAGGACATGTTTGAAGAAGGCCCTGAAAAGTGGAGACCTCTTGGGAAGTTGGTGGGCTCTGCTTCTAGGAATAAAGGGTGGAGTGGCCTGGAGGGATTCTAGAAGGAAGGAGCAGCTCAGAAAAAGGGCCAGAGGAAACCTGAACTCTCTTAAGGAATGCCACAGGATGGAGCAGCCCACGGCCTTGGGAGTGCGTTGCAGGGTGACAGGAGGAGGTGACAAGAGGTGGTGAGAAGGACTCCCCTGTCGCCCCCTCCGACTCATACACATATTCACAGGCCTCACTGCCAACACAAGTTTTTCTGACCTCTTGGACCACATAGGAAACTCAGGACACAGAGGAAGTGACCTCCCCAGAATCACAAAGTCAAAATCAAAACTAGGAGAGAAGCCCCACTTCCTTGGCCCCTCAACATTCATTTATTTTTCTCAGTTTTTTTTTTTGCTTAGTTATTGCATGCCCACAGTACAAAGTTTTCAAAAGTCTAAATCCATGCATATTTAAGCATTTACATGTGTCATTTTCTTTTTCTTTTTCTTTTTT